GACTGTTCTGAGTATGATCTTATTCATTCAGAAATATAAGCATTGCACTGTATTCAATGGCAAGCTATCCTGGATTCCAGAGCGTTCAGTTAATAATAAATTGAAATATCGTGAAGGCTCTGGTTCAACGGGAGGATTCTTTGATTAAACTGTGCCAATCACAAAACAGAATTAGCGGTTTTAGTACAGATTTTGGGCGTGTTAACCCATTAAGCGCCAGCGCTCTCCCCTTGACGAGTTAAATCGTCTGGCGTTAGACAGAGTAAAATACTAAAGTAGGGTGCATCAGGGTGCAATGCGACCCAATGGGTTAACTAGACACATGGGCAGATAGATCAGTTAACCCATTAAGCACCACCACTCTCCCCTTGACAAGTAAAATCGTCTGGCGTTAGACAGAGTAAAATACTGTTCAAAGTAGGGTGCATCAGGGTGCAATGCGACCCAATGGGTTAACTAGACACATGGGCAGATAGATCAGTTAACCATTAAGCGCCAGCACTCTCCCCTTGACGAGTAAAATCGTCTGGCGTTAGACAGAGTAAAATACTGTTCAAAGTAGGGTGCATCAGGGTGCAATGCGACTCAATGGGTTAATATAGTACATAACATAGGTCATAGACATACAGTTTCAATACAAATGATTTTGAACAACGTCAAGGTCAATGAAATCATACAAAATGAATTTATGGAATATCAATTAAATGTATTTAAAACAAACATAATTTCAACATCCCAATAAGCAATAACATCCCAGTAAGTATAAATTCAACTATTTTAAATCAATTGTTTGAATAGCCAAATTAAAAGTTGTACGAGGGACAAAATCATTCAATAATATTCACATTTTATCATTTGTATTATGTGTCAACTATCAAAGTCGCACTGTTAAGTATATTAAAATATACTTTTCATAAGATTAGATGTAAGATATAATTGTACGAAGGTAACTGAGGAACGACGATGTGTAAGACAATAAATCATACATACAGTGAAAAACGCTCTTTTTGTAGCACATCCTACATGTACATATCGGCAGCATTTTCCTTGCGATAGTAACTCCTAGTTTTATGAGAATCTAGTTTTCCGTGAAATTGCTTTTTTAAGACACGTGAATCGTGAAACGGCTTTTTTTTTCGTTGTGAAACCAATCTCGTTCCCTGAGCCTGCGATCCTCGTGAAGGAACGCGAGGCTCTGGGATAATCCGTTGCCGGAAGCCAGGAATTCTGGCTAAGATTGAACTACGCATTCCATTTCAACGGCCAATCAGATTCCTCCCTGAAACGGATTATCCCAGAGCCTCGCGTTCCTTCCCGAGGATCACAGGCTCGGGGAACGAGATTGTTGTGAAACGTGATCCATACCTCCCCCCCCCTTTCCCACCCTCTTTAAACTCAACTTGTCGAGGTTTCTTCCTGTGGGGCAATTACTCCCATTTCTTTTCATTTGCACAATGTTCAGTGCATGCATTCTTTTTGCCAACGCCAGTACCCAGAAGTCTTGAAAATGTGTGTCTCAATCCCATATCAAAAAGAGGCAAAAAGTTGGGAGACTCTTGAGCTTGAGGAGTGCTATTTTTGCCGTTTGGGAAGGAGGAGCGACGGTAACATTTCATATTTTTATAGCATGAACACATCACACGAGGTTTGTGCTTCGAAAAAGGCGGAAGAAAAACCTCGGAAATGCAATTTTCTGGCGATCTGGGGGAACTGAAATTTCAAAATTATCCCCCGGGCGCGCCAACTATGGTGGCGTTTACCTTCCCGCATAAAATTTTTCAAAACTTGACAGGTCTGGATGTCATTGTCGGCAGATGGTTGAATGACACACGGCAACGCTAAGTCTAACCAAATTAATCAAGAAAATCCGAAAAGAATCAACTTTAAACTTTGATAAAGTGACGTTATGTCAGTTTGATGGCTGGAAACGAGTGAAAACAGTGGCAACTAAAGACTGCAAAGAGGTCCTGAACAGGGGTCTAGATCAATTTTCCAGCCCAAATTTTCTGTAAATCCTAAACATTGCAGCCCTTTTTTAGATCAAATCCCAGTCCCGCTGTGAAATTGTATGAAATCTCAGTGACTTTTAAACACAATTCTGCATTCAAGATATATTAAAAAGGTATATGACCTACTAGCCTCATCCGCAGGCATCTCACCCGCAGAATTGGATGGTCGGAAGTTTGGTGAATTTTTTTTCAAAACTCATTTGCAGGCTCAAACCCATAGAGAGACCTGCAGAGGAGGCTAAGATTAGATTGGGGTTAGATGTTAGAGTGGGGGTTAGGGTTCAAATCAAGGCAATGTCTTAATTTGAACGTTTTTTACAATTAAGAGCCTTAATTTGGAGGGGCCTGTACCGGTTTTGCGGGATGCATCTAAAATTGAAGTGGAATTCAGGATTTTAAGACAAATATTGGTTGGGAAGCTGGATTAATTGGGTCATTCCAGAAAACATCCATACCACCCCCACGGCAGAAATTGGAAGTTAATCCCCCTAATTCCCCTTTGGATGCCATAATACATTATTTACTATTATCAGAAACAATTTTTTCTTCCCTCCCCCTCCGGACGGCAGAAATTTCCTCTGTGGGGAGAGTGTGGATCTTTTCTGGAACAACCCATTTTATTCCATTGCGGGAAGTGGGATTAATAAAAATACCATATATGGGGGGAAGTAATCCACGGTTAGTGGGATATAATCAACAATGTTGATTGCGTGACCGAAATTTACTGTTTTCAAGGATATTGATTTTACATGCATGGCTGTGGCTTTCAGAAGAGTCGTGGATGTAGAGTCATTTATTTTTCAAACTTTTTTTCATTGTATTCTAGTGTATTCAAATTGTATTCTATGTTGTTACGATGTCTTTGAATACTTGGTTATCCATTGTCTACATCTAAATCATAATACCTTGAACAGTGTTTGAAAAAAAGTTGGGAGCGTGAAATTGGGATGAGGCGTGGCGGGATAACAAGATTTGATTGGGAATTGGTCGGGATGGCGGGGTTTCGGAACCCGGCACAGGGCCCTCAATTTTGGGAAGAGATCATGCAATCTCGTTCCCCGAGCCTACGATCCTCGGGAAGGAACGCGAGGCTCTGGGATAATCCGTTTCAGGGAGGAATCTGATTTTTTTTTTGGGCAGTCGGGCAATATTCGATCAACAGTCGGGCAATTTTGGTATGTAATAAAAATAAATTGGACAAATTGTGTCAATTCAGTGAAATTCAGTAAAATTTGTGTGATGTTCCGAAAAATTTTGGTATATCAGGAAAAATTTTTTGACCCCTAAAATGGTGCACTGACCGAAATTTTTTTGGCGACGGGGGGGGGAGCGCCGAAAAGTCGGGCAAATTTCTTTCCGCCCCCCTAATTTTTTCCTTCCGGTACGCCCATGCTCAGAGCAATGACTAGAGATATGGCGGCCACAAAAGGGACAATTTTGAATTTGCACCAGGTAGAGGAGGCCCCCAAATGACGATAAACTAAAATATGGGTAGAAACCATAGTTAGATATTCTCCTGGAATGCAAGAGACTCGAAATGTTCCTGGGGAACGGTACCTTGAATTATTTAGGTAAGGAAAACACATTAGACAATAGTCCTGCTAATTATCCTAACAGTTCATGAATATGAATCTATAGAAAAAATGCTCAGGTTGTTATAGGAACGGTTTGTGGCTATATTTATAATATACATGTGTTTGTGGCTATATTATAATACACCCTTCCAATAATTATGTCACAACTACACTGTTTTGAACTTTAAGGACCACCTTAAATGGAAAGGATTTCATGTTTTTTTTGTCATGGGCTATGCACAGAGAAGCAGAACATCCTTCTTCAATACATGATGATAAAGAATTCTTTACTTTGACCAATAAATGTGGAAATAAGCTTTAATAATGCTATTTATATATAATACTATTGTATTGTCATGAACAGTGAATCCATTCAGTGAATCGTGAATGTCTTTGACCTGACAGACAGTGGCGGAAATTCACTTTTTCCGGGGGGGGGGGGGGCTGTGTGCGAAGCCTTCTAAATTTCTGACAAAACTTTCAAATTTCCAACAAACACCCCCCCCCCCATTTGCACTCGAAAATGCTGTTTTTAGCCCTCTTTAGGTCAAAATTTCCGAACATTTGTCATTTTCCACAAAGGTGGGGGGCGGCCGCCCCACCGAGATTTCCGCCACTGGTGACAGAAATACAATGGTGATTCGCTGCATGACCGTATCTCGGCAAGAAGTTCATTAAATAGCAGAGATATTGAGTCCTGAAATGTTCACTTTGGTAGTGGTAATGAATTTCGTATATATGCATAAACTCGCTGTATAGTCAAAGAGTTTGTCGGTTAAGTGTTAACCGAGTTAAGTCTGAGTCAAATGTCACAGTCCAAGTCACTGTTTAGCGGTCTTTGTAGTTCAATGACTTAATTAGTACTCTATTAACCATACCCTACTTCTAACCCTATTCGATTATAAATTTTACTCAATTTCGGAGTTTGTCGGTTTACCAAGTTAAAACCAAGCCCAGTCAAATGTCCGAGTCCACTGTCTTTGTATTTCAATGACTTAGTACCCAAACCCTATTCAATTCAGAATTTTTTTCAATTTTTCTCTTTTTAATGTGATTCAGACATTTGACTCGGATTTGCTTTGTAAATGGATTTACTCTACCGTAAACTTCTGATTATCAGCCCTGGGCTTATATACTTTCATAAGCAATTTTTGATGGTCTTATACAAGGGGGGATTATATAGGGGGGGGGGCTTATAAATGCGCTTTGATTAACATAGTAAGCTATAAAGACAATGACAATGTTTTTAAATACCGTTCTCAGCTATATTAAAAGACAATGTCAATGTTGAATAACATGGAGGAGGGCTGCAGGGCTTATATTCAGGGGACTTATATTTGGGGGGCTTATATTCGGGCGAGGGGGGAGCGCACTTATATTTGGAGGTTCACAGTATACTCAAAACTGGCAACAATATTCACATTGAGTCATGGGTGGCCATGTGATCTTCGAGATCTCTGGGAACATCAAACACGACATCGCAAACACAACAAACATATCCAACACCAGTTGGTTCTGTTGATTCCAGTTCTTGACATAAACCACATTGGTAGTTTCCATCATTGCCATGATGTCTCGCTATATGTTGAACCAATGTCATAAAATTTGAGAATCGTTTGTTACATTTGTTACAAGCGTATTTTCCAATGCTTTTATCCTCAGCAAAGTGTCCTTGCAAATCTTGTGGTTCAATAATCTCTTTGTGGCAACTATTGCAAAATAAATGTTCCTTTTTGTGGCACATAAGGCTGCTTAATAGTGTAAATCTCTTCTTACAAACATCACATTCATAAGGTCTGTCTTCAGAGTGTGTTTGTTTATGTTTAGCTAAAATACCTGACTGTCTAAATCTCTTCTTGCAAACATCACATTCATAAGGGTTGTCTCCAGTGTGTGTTCGTTTATGTGTCACCAATTCATTTGATCTCATAAATCTCATCGTACAAACATCACATTCATAAGGTTTCTCTCCAGTGTGTGTTCTCTTATGTTTTACCAAACTATCTAATCTTCCAAATCTCTTCTTACAAACATCACATTCATAAGGTTTCTCTCCACTGTGTGTTCTCTTATGGTTTATCAAAGCATCTGATCTTTTAAACTTCTTCTTACAAACATCACATTCATAAGGTCTGTCTCCAGTGTGTGTTTGTTTATGTGTAGTTAAATGACCTGATTGTCTAAATCTCTTCTTACAAACATCACATTCATAAGGCTTGTCCCCTGTGTGTGTTTGTTTATGTGCAGCTAAATTACCTGATTGTCTAAATCTCTTCTTGCAAACATCACATTCATAAGGCTTGTCTCCAGTGTGTGTGCGTTGATGCGTTGCTAAATTACCTGATTGTGCAAATTTCCTCTTACAAACATCGCATTCATAAGGTTTATCTCCAGTGTGTGTCCTCTTATGTACAGCTAACTCGCCAGATATTCTAAATCTCCTCTTACAAACATCACATTCATAAGGCTTGTCTGTAGTGTGTGTTCTTTTATGTTTTGCTACATCGCCAGATATTTTAAACTTCTTCTTACAAACATCACATTCATAAGGCCTCTCTGTAATGTGTGTTCTTTTATGTTTTGTAAAACTACTTGATTGGGAAAATCGTTTCTCACAAACATTACATTTATAAGGTTTTTCTCCTGTGTGTGCTCTCTTATGTTCTCCCAAAGCGTCTGATCTGTTAAATTTCTTCTTACAAACATCACATTCATAAGACTTGTCTTTTTTGTGTCTTCTTTTTTTATGAGCAGCAAAATGACTAGTTGTTTCATGTTTATAAAATTTCTTCTTAGAAACATCGCATTCATTTAAAGGTTCCCCGCTAGTGTGTGCTCTATTATGCCGCTCTTCACGCTGATCAGACATGATTTGATTCAAGTTTTCCTTTTCTCACCACAAAAGGTTTTTCTTCTTGTTAATTTAAAAAGAAATAAGTGAAATAACTCTAAATTTCGATCAATTTGAGTGTTTTTGACGAACTGTATTTTATTTCAAAGTTTTGTGCGCTAGATGATACCGAAATGGAAAGTGAAACCGCTGAACAGTGTGATCGAATTTTTCTTACCTCGTTCCCAGGGTTTTGCCAGTGAGGCGCGCGATAAATTCTAAAAAGGCCGGTATATACTATTTCGCTAACCTCAGAATGACATTTCGAATGAAAAGTTTTTTCTTCAAGATTGGTTTAGAAACAAACTTGGAGTAGGGTTAGGTTAGGGTTAGGATTGGGGTTAGGATTAGAGTTAGAGTTGGTGTTTGGAATAGGGTTAGCGTCAATCTCGTTCCCGGAACCTGCGATCCTCGGGAAGGAACGCGAGGCTCCGGGATAATCCTTTTCAGGGAGGAATCTGATTGGCCGTTGAAATGGAATGCGTAGTTAAATCTTAGCCATGATTCCTGGCTTCCGGCAACGGATTATCCGAGAGCATCACGTTCCTTCCCGAGGATCGCAGGCTCGGGGAACGAGATTGGGCTAGCGTTAGTAAAAAAGGCCAGCGAAATAACCTCTTCCCTCAAGGCCACTCCAAATTAGACTTAGTTTCCTGCCTTCCGCCCGCATCTCCTAGAACTGGCCGCATGATTTGTCCATTATTGCGATTTGCGAAGTTGTTTCCATTATTTGACTTTTGCGGCAAACAATTACGAAAAACCACAGTTTTCAAATAATCTATCGTTCGAGAAATACATATTTATGATACAACACGTAAAAATCGAAATAATATTCCTGAAACTTTTTACTTTTATCAAAGAGCGTGAATTTTTTTCCGTTTTCACTACGAACCGCTGAACTACACACTTCCGTTACAAGTTTTGATTTTTGAACGTCAAAACCGATAGGGTATTATAATATCCTGGCTTTCATTTCTGCATACAAAAACTCTAAAACGTTGCGTAGAAACGTGGCTGAATGGATATTTAAAACGCGTCTCTATTTCATGAAATAATGCAACCTCGTACCCCGGGGTCTTTTCTCTTGGGGAGCAAAGACCCTGTCACCCTGGTAGACGCTGGTTACGTGATCTGCTAAAATCTAGCAGATTTCTAATTAACTATCTTGGTTTTCTTTACGACAATCATACAAAATGCAAATTATAAATTAAACTATCAAAATAATCCAAATATCAAATGTTTATTGACCTGATCTTGGATTGCTAATTAACTGAAATCTGCTAGATTTTAGCAGATCACGTGACCAGCATCTACCAGGGTCTTTGCTCATTCTCGTGGGCTCTGGCCAAATCCATAACCGGATATCATAAAAACATGGTAAGAAAACAATATCCGGTGTTAGAACTAGCCAATCAGATACCAGTTCGGAATATGGATTTGGCCAGAGCCCCTCGTCGCACCGCGCGTAAGAAGGGCTCTGGGTACGAGAATGTGTGTTTGCTCCCCAAGAGTAAAGTCCCTGGGTACGAGGTTGGCAATAATGGGCCGTGTTTCATCTTTCAGACACCATAATGGTTATTAATGGAATGGACCGTCCGCCCGCGTGTAACGGGAAACTAAAGTCTAATTTGGAGTGGCCTAAACAATAAAGATGAACACTTGCGTTAAGAGTTGTTGTGTGGCTTATGTCTCGATCAATTCCATGGTTGCCCCCCCCCCCCGGCGTTTGTCGGGCATTCTCACTCGCATACCCAGGACTTCTGCGGTTATTCTCAGAGTGATAAGCGTAGAAGCCCTAAGTATGAGGTTGGGAAAGCCAGTGCGCTTACGAGACGCACTCCCCCCTCCCCCCCCTATTGAACGCCTAGCCCAAACCGGCCATTTGGAATGTTTTTAGGGGTGACAGCCTCTCCTCAGCGCAATGATTAGAGATATGGCGGCCACAAAAGGGAAAATTTGCCCCAGGAAAGGGGCCCCCCAAATAAAAATAAATAGAGGATACTGACACGGCGCGCGGAGATATGACTTTTAAATTTGAGTGGTGAAAACAATATTCAGTTTAGACAAACGAGCGCAGCGAGTGAGTAAAATATTGTTTTTAACACGAGACGATAATGGTCATATCTTCAAGCTACCGTGTAATGTTCTGTTTATTAAATAGTCCCAAGCAAAAAATTGTGAAATTTCACACCCAAAAGCAAATTGGAAAAAGTCACGTGATCGATATCTTCACTAGTGAAGATATGGAAAATATCTCAATGCGTATTTTTCAGTATCTCACTCGCTACTATATAATAAAGTAAAACTTATGGCTTTTCCCTAGAAATCATAGTTAGATATTCTCCTGGAATGCAAGAGACTGAAAATGTTCCTGGGGAGCACCCTGAATTATTTAGGTAGAGAATATACTTTGAAAATGTTATATAAACATTAAAAAATAAAAGACAATAGTCTTGCTAATTATCCTAAAAGTTCATGAATATGAATCAATTGAAAAAATGCTCAGGTTGTGGCCTGTTTTTCGGCGTACGTTTGTGGCTATATTTATAATATATATGGGTCTGGGGCTATATTATAATTACACATGATAAGAAAAACATAAGAAAGGCTACACATGATAAAAAAAGGGTGGTTGCAAATTATGGTGATATACAAACATAAATTTGGTAATATGGAATGCATTTAATAGTCAAAAGATTTCAGTTGAAAATTTAAAAATGAAACATGAAATTTATTAATAGTTTTGTTTGTGGAAACATCACGTAAATATAATTATTACTGCAAAGCTTTCGATCCGTAAGCCCGGATCTTCACCAGTGCTAATAATGTGCTATAATCTTATTATTAGCACTGATGAAGATCCGGGCTTACGGATCGAAAGCTTTGCAGTAATAAATTTACGTGGTGTTTCCACAAACAAAACTATTATATTTTATCGCCATGCAAACATACAAAGAACTTATATGAAATTTATTATTGCAATATAAAGTGTATAATCGATTAACATATTGTCAAATGAAAGGAATACTTCGCATTACTTCCACGTTATTTGAACAGGAATGTATGTTTGTTTATCCAAGAGCGGACCTTGGTTGGTTTTTGACCGGTTATATTCGAAAAATCGTTGAGACTTTTTCGATTCGTAACGCAACTACCAGCATCGACAAGGCGATACATTTCCATGATCGCTTCTGCTCTGATTTTGGAGAATCTGTGTTTCTGCAGAAAGGCCTTTGCGTCTTTGTAAGATATGCGAACGTATCCGACATGTCGGCCAAGTGCTTTGGTAAACGCGTCGGCTATTTCGCTGTAGGTAACACGGTCACTAACGATCGTGTATATTTTTCCTACGTGTTTCTTTGGTGAAGCGAGGATGAAGGATGCGGCGATGGAAGCATCTTTTGTAACCACCGGTGTGAATGACGCGTTAGGGCGTGCTGGCCAGTAAATCGTGGACATATTTTTTATCGAAGTCCGATGCGCCAAAAGGTTATCTACTAACAGCGGTAGGCGCAGGATTGTATATGGAACACCAAGCTTTGACACAGCCGTTTCTATTTGCTTATGCTGTTTTCCAAAAATTGTATCGGGTCGCTCTGCTACTGCGAGGCTATATAGTAATATGTATTCGACACCTGCGTCCTTAGCTGCTGTAGCTGTATCGATCGCGCATTGAGCTCGATCTTCAACGTCGTTGCCGGAACTGATGATATAAACTGCATTGACATCTTCAAACAATTTCCTCAATCTCGCTTTCTTTCCCAATTCTGCTTGGACAACGGTGACACCTGTCAGTGATTCTAATCTCTTGGCTTTGGCGGGATTGCGCACGCCAGCTCGAATTTCAACGCTTTTCCCATGCATCGAGGATAATGCTGATACCGCTGTTCTGCCCACAAGGCCGTCCGCACCAATAACAAAAATAATGGGTTTCTTCGGCTTCGCATCCTGTGGGCCTGAAATTAGATACAATTCAAGCTGTTAGGAAAATCAAGTGAATGAAGTGATGAAAATCAAAATGGTCGTTGTACAGGACTGGTCTTCTATATTTTCTTTGTATTGGACTGGTCTTGTATTCTCCTCAAGATATCTATATTCACCTGACGTTTGAAGTATTCAGTTTAACTTAATTCGCATTTGGTTTTAATGATCAGATAATTCACTGAATTCGGTCCATATCCAAACAGCTCCACTTTTCTCCCCCTCCCCCCATTGTTAGTTGGCGCCAATGAACCATAGGTAGCCCAGACACACTGTGCGATTTAAATTTAAATGCTTGGCATACTTAATTACCCCCTGCGGTATCGATTTCAAAATAATAATGTTAAAGGTGATCTACAGTCCGATCTGCGCATGTGCACAAATGAGCCCACTTTTTATGATACAAACAGTTTAACTATGTTTTGAGTTCTTGAAAAGCCTGATTGTTGTTTCTTGATCATTTATTATAATCTAGAAGCTTGAAAATATAAATAGTTGTCGAATAAAGCTCAATATTTTGGACACAAAAATGTAAACAAAGGCTTTGTTTACATACGGACTGTAGATCACCTTTAACGATCAGCTCAAAAATATTCCGAATTTTTACACTAAAATGTATCACTAATCAATGCTTATCGTTGAAGGAAATATACTTAGGTACATAGCATGCGCATGCATCAACATAAATAGTTTATACCTTTAGTAGACACACTTGAAATCCAGCTTTAAAATAATGTCATGATTTTAAAGCTAGATTTCAAGTGCTTCTACTAAAGGTATAAACTATTTATTTTTGCTGATGCATGCTATGTACCTAAGTATATTTCCTTCAACGATAAGCATTGATTAGTGATACATTTTAGTGTAAAAATTCGGAATATTTTTGAGCTGATCGTTAACATTATTATTTTGAAATCGTTAAATTTAAATCGCACAGTGTGTCTGGGCTACCTATGCAATGAACATTGTGACTTACCGTCTCGGACGATGAAATACGCCTCACCCAGTGTTACACCTATCAGTAGAAAACACGAAATCCGAAGCAAAAATTGAACATCCATGGCAACCTAGAAATACACGATGCATGATAGACTTGAGAGCACTGACAACCACGAGAATACAAATTTGGGCGAGAAGTGCGTATATATATATAATGCGTCACAGCAGAATCTTGGCACTCGACTCCGAAATCAATTTATCAGTATAAACCAGAAATCAACTATGGTCAACTATTGAATCACCAAGATGATTTCGAAATCATAAATCATAAATGTTCTGGCAAATAGCTTAAAATTGATTCATTTTTGCGTTGATATTTCCGAGACGATAGTTCTAACAATTATACTACAATACTACAATAATCAATTTAAATTGCTCCAATAATTGAGTAAACATTGAAAAAATGACCAAAACTACAGTGAATTACTGATATCTTCAGGAAAGCTTGAAATCAATGTTGAAATGGGCAGAAGTCAAGAAATCACAGCTCAGATCTAGATCAATCAAGTGATCCCGAAATCTCGTTCGCTTTGAGTTTGAACAACTGCGCATTTGGGATTCGTGCGCGCCTTGCGCCGGGAACAGACGTATTTTCGAATCCGTCTGCTTTTGCGTCGAAGCGAATAGTTTACAAGCAAAACTTTATCGAGCTTTAGAACATATTATGCATAGTTAACGGTTATTTATTACTCACCCGATAGTCTAAAGTAAATTGTCAAACTTTCGAGAGTATTTCTTTCTGCAACAATCAACACAATTCCTTTCGCTTGCGCTGACAGTTTCGACTCGCTTAAGGAACCTTGATTTAAATAAATAACTTCCTTCCAAATTTTGCGACATGGTACAAATCAAGGACTGGACTTGTGAACTTATAGACTTGAGGACTTAAACTTGACTCGGTTTGGGTGGAAAGTTCTGGACGAGACAGAAAAACGCTTAAGGTGACGTGCTCCCTCGATTGATATCAGTGATAGAAAATAGTCCTGCTTTAATATGGTATTGTGCCATTATTATTTCTCAGTATTAAATGAGTATGCAGGCCTGAAGTGTTTTTAATTAAAAAAAGGCTTTGCTCGCTGTCAAGTAATATTTGAATAACCGTTAATAGTTCATGAGTTCAGGGATCTGATGCGGAGAGTTTATAAGGGGGGGGGGGGGGAAGCCCCTTCTAACGGAGGAAAGGGGGGAAAGCGCCCATTTAATATGATTTATCTTAGTAATAATATTTATCTTAATAAAAACACAAAATATGATACAAAGCAAATTTGTTTATATAATTAGTAAATCTCATGCATTAATGCACAGATCAATATGATCCAATTCTTTAGCCAGATAATTACTCCAGAAAAGTTCCATAAATGTAGTCATCGAGCTTCAAAACTATAAAATGTTTCTGATATATATTACCCAGCATGCACAGGCTTTCTATTCCGGCTTTATTAATTAGTGATGCTGCTGTTATTGGTGAGTATAATGGACAACTTGCATGTTTGACAAATTTTTTATCTAGGTAAAAAAAAGTAAATTCCCGTAAAGAACTTATTAAAATTAGTAAAATTGCAAAATTTGTTGCGAAATGTTGAAAAATACAGAAAATATAGCCTTGCAAAGTTTGCATTTTTTCAGTATATTTGTATTACGTGCGGAAACTGTTACCAAATGGTAACAATTTCCGCACGTAATAGACGTAATACAAATATACTGAAAATATGCAAACTTCGCAAGGTTATATTTTCTGTATTTTTCAACATTTCGCAACCAAATTTTGCAATTTTACTAATGTCATTATGTTCTTTTTTAACTGTCGTGTTTGATTCCCTTCTCTTTGCTTAGATTAAAATTTAGTCTCCAAGTAAAATCCCTTGTTACCCTTATTACCCTACATGTACACCCAGCGCCAGATACTTCGCAACCTCCTGGGGCCGGTTGTATAAAAAAGTGATTAAAGTTAACTATACAGGGTGTCTCAAAAAAAACCAAAATCATTGAAATAACGTATTGTTCGAATTTCAATGGCGTAACACAAAGGATTTTGACAGGGTGATTAATTTGTTTTAAAAAATTAAAATATCTTTGTAAAGTGAACGTTTGTTTGCTCATGGGAATTTAAAAATGCTTCGTAAATTGTAATATGCGTAATATGCATTCGTGGGTTTAGTACTTTATGCCTGACATAACAAGTTTACGCTGAGTATTACCTTTCATTATAGCAGTTATGTCAATCTTTTATGCACTCGTGGGATTAACTTAGTGCTAGGGCATTGAATATCGAACAATACGTCAATTTCAATGATTTTGGGTTTTTTTGAGACACCCTGTAGTTAAGTGGAAACGTCATCCAATAAGAAGCGCCTATTTAAGAATTAATCACTATTTAACTACAAAATAGTGTTTAAAAAAGTGATTAAGAGTTTTATACAACCGGCCCCTGAATGTATGTCAATTAAAAAATGCTCCTCTTGTTGTTTCGGCGTCCCTACCCGTCCATGAGTCCACAAGTCCAGTCCTTGCTTTGTTAGCGATTGGTCACGTTTTTGTACAAGTGGAAAAGGAAATGAGTCCCTCTCAGCTGAGTGATGCAATTATAAACGTTGACATCTGTTTGTGCATTTGAATACGGATTAAAGATGCTGTAAAGTGGGAGCAACCTTTGGAATGTTGTTATAAATATTCCGCACCTTCCGATCTTTCTTGAATTGAATCTCTGGTCTGCATTCAGTAATGATTCATTTACAAGCATAGCGAGCCGTAAGAGTGTTAAAAATTCAGTATAATATATATCTAATCATATTTTACAACTGTAGCACTGAGTTCAAAATGTAAACAAAGCGTTTGTTTTACATTACGGACTTTACATCATCTTTAAATTAAGTAATTAAAACTGAAGCAGTTGCCGTGAATGCGACCAACTTTACGCGAAGAACTTCACCCTAAAGATATTTAAACGCGACACTGAACAAAGCCCACCAAATGCGATCACGACTCAAGATCACATTTAATTGATATATAAATTATAAAGTATCGAATTTAGTGGGTTTTATCAAACGTCGCTCGATCTTGTATATACGTATAGCAGCACTTCATGCAGCTGTTAAGTTAGGTTTGGAGAGCGACGTTTAGGGTTAAAAACGAGGTTAAAAACGAGGTTAAAAAGATTTCGTGCGCATTTAATCATATACATATAGATATTTGCGCAATATATAAAATAATAAAGTATTATTATTAATGTTATTAAAGACCATGTTAGTAAAGTCCGTTCTGCGCATACGTTCTGCGCAGGTTTACATTCCAATCACTCGGGACCAAGGGACCCGACCGTTGGAATGTTATTAATATTTCGTATGTTTTGAACTTTCTTGAATTGAATCTCTAGTCTGTATTCATTTACAAGCATAGCGAACCAGAAGAGTGTTAAAAATTCAGTATAATATATATCTAAGCATATTTTACAACTGTAGCACTGAGTTCAAAATGTGGCAAAGCGTTTGTTTACATTACAGACTTTAATACATGGTCTTTAAACGATTGATTCAAACATGGTTTCTTTTAAGCTAGGAGATTTATAATCAGCCTCATTTAGTTAACTAAGTTCCTTTTAATTTCTTTAACTATATATATACTATAATACTATTGAATGTATTATATTATTTTATACCGCATTAGCGTTATTGTTAGTGTGATGGTGCATGATTATTCACATACTGATTATTACTTAACGGAAATAGCTAAATTAAAGGGGCAATGTCACCGATTTTTTACCTAAAATACCGTTTATTCAAAAACTGAACTACAAAGTTTAAAATAAACATTGTAAATGGATTAAGTTATGATATATGAGTCATATTAAACAACTTTGAACTTCCACGAAACATGTAATATGACATTTTCATAAAAATTGACT